CTCATCCCTCCATCAGTCATCACAGCAGACTCACCTGAGTGACTCACCTGAGGGGGACTCTGACCCTGTAAAAAGGGAGAGTCCCCAAAATGTGACACTCACACACACACACACACACACACACACACACACACACACTCACACACACACACACTCACACACACACACACACACACACACACACACACACACTCACACACACACATATGTCTGATCTGTAGTTCAGTGTTGGTACTCGTCCGTCCTCGCTCCTTTGACTCCTGCAGACTGAACAGACTGATAAACCTCCTCTCTACAGTCAGAGTCGCTCTCTTCCTCATCGTACCTGTAAACAGTTCGTAAACAGTTCGTAAACAGTCCAGTCGGTCCAGTCTACCTCAGGGGCTCTTCTTCAGGTTTATCTCCTCACACAGCGCCAATAAATCAAGTCCCTGCAGAGTCACTTCCTGTTTCCTACGGCGAGCCTCCTCGAGGACTTGTTTCCTCCTCCCTAAGGCCTGTTTGAACCGTCACCCTCCAGGAAACACTGGAGTCATTAAAACACAAACGGAGATTAACGATCATCTCGACGACACTCGAACCCTGTTACTGTAACAGACCGAGAGAGTGACGTCATTTTATTACTCTGAGAAAGGACCGAGAGAGGAACGAGCTCATTGGTCCTGACGGCTGTAAACACGGCGAGGAGAGAAACAGAGTTTTTTTTAATGTTACAACAGACAAAAAACATAAAACAGATAAAATGGAGGTCAAAGAGTCATTATAATAATATTAATAATAATAATAATAATAATAATAGTAATCAATCAATCAATCAATCAATCAATCAATCAATCAATGAATAAATACAAAAAAAAATAAAAATAAAGATAAGACCAGCAGGTCAGTTGCCAAGATTATTAATAATTAAAGATTATTAAAACATCTGTCGACCAAAACGATCTTGTTTTATTGTCACTTATCGTAACTAAAATAATCTGATCTTGTTTATTTAATCTCATCTAACCCCACTTTAATCTGATCTCCAGTTTCTCATTTCATCTCCAGTAACTCTGCCCAATCAGAGCGAACTTCATCGATGTCATCTAATCTAATCTAATCTACTCTAATCTAATCTAATCTGGTTAATTTTTCTCATATCATCTCGTCATAATCTCATATCATCAGATCTCATCCCAGACAAGATCATCTTTTCTCTTGTCATTTGAGTTCATTACATCTCAGTCATCTTGTTTTTATTTTATGTCACCTGCTGTTTTCTCATCAGATTTAATCTCATAAAACATTTTTATACCTCGTCTCATAAAATCACGTCTTTGATCGTCTTTTTTTCACCTTTTCTCATCAGATTATCTTCAGTTTTCTTCTTTTCACGTCTCATTTGATCTTGTTTTGTTCTTCATGATGTTTCACATCATTTTATCTCGTCTAAACTCACTTCAGCCTCTCATGTCTCTGTGTTTTGTTTTATTTCATGTTGTTTGACCTCCTCCTCCTCCTCCTCATCCTCCAGATTTTGACATCTGAGGAGTGAGAGGGTGAGGCTCATTACTGCACCGAGTTCTACATACTTCAGATAAACACAGAGGTCCTCCACCCGACCCCCCACACCCACACCCACACCCACAGACACCATGACACCACCCACAGCTGCTGAGTTCGTTTCCTCTGATCTGCAGGAAACACTCGTCCCTGTTTCCAGTGAAAGTCTGAAGTGATGACTTCTGGGAAATTCCAGCGTGAAGTCCAGTCTTTGTGTCGGCGCTTTGACGGGGTCTGTGTGAGGTCCAGTTTCTGTTTCCCTGAAATACAGGATTAGACGGTCGGAGGTGGTCCGGGTTCTTCTCTGACTCAGATTCACTCGTTCATATCTGTTCACCCCTGCAGAGAAAAACCACGCTGCAGAAACAGGAAAACCTCTTTATTTCTGACGTTTAAAGGATTAAAAAACAACTATTTTATAATTTATCAAAGTCACATTTACCTGATTATTTACAGAAACATCTCCTCTCTGAACGATGGGAGCTAAATTAAACATTAAAACACAATAATATTGATTATTATCTATAATAACAATATGATTGTTGACAATAATATTGATTATTATCTATAATAATAAAATAGGAAAGGTCTTCGGTTGTTTTATATCGTATATTTGTCTGCAGAGAAAGTTTGAACATGATATTTTCACCTGTAACTGTCACAACAGTGAGGTTTTCCTTTAAACGAGCACGAATAAGATCAGCATCGACTGCTTTGTCCACAGGGGGCGCCAAAATCAACATGAACCCAGAGTTCCTTACAGGAGCTTTAATGAGTGAGTTTACCACCAAACGGAGTTTAGCTGCAGAGACATGAGACGTACGTCCCTGCGGCGGAGAAGACGGGCGTCTCTGATCATGAACTGTCTGTGAGACACGATCAATAATCAATAATCATCAATAATAAAGGGATGATTAGAGTTTAACGAGTTTAAAGACAGTCAGTGTTCAGCCTGAAGGAGAGGAGCTGTCATCCCAACAGAGGGTGTGTGTGTGTGTGTGTGTGTGTGTGTGTGTGTGTGTGTGTGTGTGGGTGTGTGTGTGTGGTCAGACTCCTCCCCTTCCTTCTCTTCCTTCCTCAGCCTGAAATAATTTCTTGGAAACTGAAAGTCACGTGATTTATGTGAAGAGGAGGAAACATGACGCACCTCTTTAATCGAGAATAGAATATTTCTTAATTGATCGCTCAGAGGGGAAGTTTTTTCTGTCAGCATCACAGAAAAAGTGCAAAACTGCAGTTATAGAAATAAAGATCGTATATTAAGAACTTAAATAAATGTAATAATTAAGAAAAAAATAGAAAAATAAAAAACTAAATACAAACAATTTAAGAACCAGAAAGAAAGAGTTGTTGTGAGTTCAATTTTTATTACAGCTCTTTGTCTTATTGCAGAGGGGAGGAATGACATCTCATCTTATCTCTACTGTAAAAAACAATCAATCAATCAATCAATCAATCAATCAGTCAGTCAGTCAAGTGTCAAAGAACAACTATGTCACGGTGTGTTTCTTATCCCTCTGACTCTGCAGGGAAAGCTGTTGGAGACGATCCAGTGAAGAACTTTCTTCATCTGAGGTGGACAGTGACACCTGCAGGTCATAAAGGGTTACTACAGAGGGAGCTGCACTAACATAGTTTGTCCTGAGGGGGGAGCTAGAGAGTTAAAGTGAAGAGGCACAGAAGGAGGAGAAGATGAGGAGAGTCGAAGGTAAGGAAGGATAGGAGGAGGTATTCAAGGAAGGATGGAGGTGATGGGAAGGAGAGAAAAAAGGAGCTGTAGGAGAGGAGGAGCAGGAGGAGGTGATGGTGGAGGAGGAGGAGAAGTCCAACAGGACGAGGAAGTGAAGTTTGGGGTTTTAGTGGGATCCTGCAGAGTTGATGTTGACCAGCAGGGGGCAGCAGAGGCAGTTTGACTCTGACCATCGGCTTCAGAAAGAATTTACCATCAGTGTTCAAATGTGAACATCAACGTTCGCTCACGCAGTCTCTCACAGAGGGGTGAACGAGTGAAATATTCTTCAATAAAACAACAACAAGTTTCCTGACGGAGGATCGAATAAAAGACTTTAAAGAAGCTGAAAGATCTCGAGTCTCTGAGTCCACACACACACACACACACACACACACACACACACACATTCCTGAGCTGGTTGTGAGCAGCTTGCTGTGTGTTGATGTTATTCAGCCAATCAGAAACAGTTACAGACGTCCCGTAAGGAGTCCAGCTGTTTTCCCATTTTCGGTCAAAGTCCAGGCAGTGTGTGTGTGTGTGTGTGTGTGTGTGTGTGTGTGTGTGTGTGTGTGTGTGTAGGAGAGAGAGAGAGTGAATGAATGAATGAATGAATGAATGTGAAGCAGGTGAACCTCTTAATCCTGTGGAGACGGTAAAACTAAAACACAATTAAATCACTTAATTTCATTAAATAAGATCAAAAATAATACAAAGAAAATAAAAAATAAGATTTTATAAAAATATTATTAAAATATAAAATAAAATAAAAATTACAGAAATTTTATTCATTTAAATCTAAAAAATAGAATAAAACTAAAAATAAATAACATCAAATAAAATTCAATCAGAGATATTGATATAAAATTTCTAAGTTAATAAATAAAGACTTTGAGATTAAATTAAATAAGCTGAAATAATATAAAATAATTCAGTTGGAGATTTTTTTTATCATCCTCTACTATGACATTCTAATCCTACTTTACTATGTAGTTTTTACCAACACTATGATTTTTTATAAAACCATACTGTGATATTTTTAAACATACTATACTACGACATGTTTATCATACTGTGTTATCATATTTTTATCTTCTTATTCTATGAGTTTTCAACAAACAATACTATGATATTTTATAAAAACTACCATGTGACATTTTTACCCTAAAATCTAAAATTTTGGTCATAGTATACTATGACGTTTCTTTTTTTTCGGACTAAAATATGATTTTTTTTTCCTTCTGAAGTATGACATTTTTAACATCCTATACTACAGAATTTTGATCAGACAATACTAGGGCATGTTTTTTCAACCTAAAATGTTTTAAAAAATTTAACCCTAAAATCTTAAATTTTGGTCATAGTATACTATGTTGTTCTTTTTTTTCGGACTAAAATATGATTTTTTCTTATCAACTAAAATATGACATTTTTAACACCCTATACCACGGCATTTTGATCAGACAATACTATGGCAGATTTTTTCATTCTAAGAACGGAATTTTCATTTTCACTTTAAAATCTAAAATTTTGGTCATAGTATACTATGTCGTTTTTTTTTTTTCGGACAAAAAATATTATTTTTTTTCCTTTTAAAAAATGACATTTCTAACATCCTAATCTACGGCATTTTGATCGGACTATACTGTGGCAGTTTTTTTCATCCAAAAATCTGAAATTTTGTTTTCACTCTAAAATCTAAAATTTTGGTCATAGTATACTATGACGTTTTTTTTTTTCAAACAAATTTTTTTTTTTCCTTCTGAAATATGACATTTTTAACATTCTTATTTATTGCATTTTGATCAGACTGTCCTTTGGCATGTTTTTTCAACCTAAATTCTGAAATTTTGTTTTCACTCTAAAATCAAAAATTTTGGTCATAGTATACTATGACGTTTTTTTTCAGACTAAAATATAATTTTGTCTTTCCCACTTAAATATGACATTTTTAACTTTCTATACTAAGGCATTTTGATCAGACAATACTGAGGCAGATTTTTTCATCCAAAAATCTGAAATTTTTTTTTCACACTAAAATCTGAAATTTTGGTCCCAGTATACTATGACGTTTTTTTTTCAGACTAAAATATGATTTTTTCTTATCAACTAAAATATGACATTTTTAACACCCTATTCTATGGCATTTTGATCAGACAATACTATGGCAGATTTTTTCATTCTAAAGACGGAATTTCATTTTCACTTTAAAATCTAAAATTTTGGTCATAGTATACTATGACATTTTTTTTTCAGACTAAAATCTGAATTTTTTTTCTTTGGGCTAAAATATGACATTTTTAACATCTTATGCTACGGCATTTTGATCAGACAGTAATGTGGCATGTTTTTTCATCCTAAATTCGGAAATTTTTTTCACTCTAAAATCTGAAATTTTGGTCAAAGTATACTATGACATTTTTTTTTTCAAACTAAATTTTTTTTTTTCCTTCTGAAATATGACATTTTTAACATCCTTATTTATTGCATTTTGATCAGACAATACTAGGGCATGTTTTTTCATCCTGAATTCAGAAATTTTCTAAAATCTGAAATTTTGGTCATAGTATACTATGACGTTTTTTTTTTTTTGGACTAAAATATGATTTTTTTTTTTCGCAGCTTAATTAATTTTCTTTTTTAACATCCTATACTACGACATTTTTTCACACAAAATATGAAAAAAAATTTTCACACTAAAATGTAAAATCTTTTACATCCTATACTAAGACATTTTTATCATACTATACAATGAGATTTTTTCAACATTGTATACTATACCATTCTTAACATACTAAAATTTGTAAATATAATCTTACAACACTAAATTATTTTTTTAACATACTCTACTAGACATTTTCTTCACCCTGTGACTTTTTTCTTACTAAAGTGTAAAATATTCATCATTTCTATATTTTTTGCATACTATACTATGATATTTTGATTATACTATGACAGTTTGTTATTCCTAATTATGATTTTTTTTAACATACTATACTATGGCATCATTCTATACTATCATATTTTATCAAACAATACTTTTGTAACACAAAACAGTTTTTAAACATAACATTCGTTGGTTTTTTTCATATTATACTGTAACATTTTAATCATACTATACTATGATATTTGAAGTTACTAGAGAATATTTTAATAAAAGGTCGCCATGACTTTATTTCATTCAATAATATGATATTTTTGACATAATTTATTTTGATATTCTTAACAGACTATGATATCACATTTCGTTTTACTAAACTATGATTTTTTTAACATGATATAATATGATATTATAATATTTTATAAACATACTATAATGTGACAATTTTACACTATAATATGATATTTTATCTTAACCATGACATTTTATTGTAGCATAATATACTAATTTATCATCCTTAACTTTAATTTTTGTAAACATTCTATACTTTGACATTCTTAAATACTAAAAGCACATTTATCTAAAAACATTTAAAGCGCTGTTAAAAGAACATTTTAAAATCACATTTAAAAACACATTTGAAGCCGATTGTCTGATTAGATTTAAAGCAGAGTTTGTTTTTCATCTCTGACACGTTCACCCTCACTCACACACAGCAGCCTCAGTTTACTCCAGCAGATTCAGACGTTCACCAAGAACAGAGAAAGTATTTGAGGAATCTGGCAGCAGAGAAGGTTCAGAAACGTTTATGACTGAAGGAGAAGAAGAAGAAGAAGAAGAAGAAGAAGAAGGAGAAGAAGAAGAACCTGCAGCAGAAGTGAAGAGAGCGACAGCTGCTGCTCATGTCTGCATGGAGAGGCCCAGGATGAGCTCAGAGTGAGTGTGTTCAGTCAAACAGAGAGTAAATAAGGATCTGAAATAAGTGAGCGTGGTATGAAGCTATGAAGGACGGAGAGAGGAGGAAGAGGAGGAGGAGGAGGAGGAGGAGGAGGAGGAGGAGAGGAGCACTGTACAACTAAAGAAGGACATGGTGAAGGACAGCAGAGAGAAATACTACTGTACACAGAGAGTGAGGAGACCCTCTGATTCTGCAGACTGACCACACCCACCCTGTTTCCTCTCCTTACATGAGACCAGGAGGAGGAGGAGGAGGAGGAGGAGGAGGAGGAGGCTCTTATTTACCCACAGCCTTCCTTTTTTGGACTCAAAGACGCAGACCGATCTCCTACTCTCTGTTTTTTTTTTACATTCCCTCCTCAATTTCTCCTGCTCGGCTTTTTCTGACATTTCTCCTCCGTGCTCCTTCTCTCTGGAGTTCCTCACATCCAGATTTCTATCCAGACGTCTGATGAAGAGGGCGGCGTCTCTGCAGCAGGAAGTTTGGTTTTCCTCGTAGTAAAGTTTCCTTTTAAGGAGAACATGCAGAGAAAGTCCGACTGAAACCCTGAAGAGATCTCCATCCTGGAGATGATGAACTTTAGAACAATCAGACCTCCTCGCTCTTTGACTCAGACCTGCTGCAGATAGACATGCAGGAGGACATGAGGACATGGAGAGCTGCAGGGTGGGGTGGGGGGGGACCTTCATCACGACCATCAAGAATTAAACCAAATCCTGACAGTGACCCTAAAAACCAGCTTTAAAAAAACACCAAAACAGAGATTTAGAGACTGTAGAGCAGCTGATCAGAGGAGGAGGAGGAGGAGGAGGAGGAGGAGGAGCAGGAGGTCTGAGTAGACCTGCTTCACCTGCTAACCCCCCGTCCCCGCTGACCCAAACAGAAACTCGTCCATCTGGATGGTTCTGAGGATCAGAGTTTGTTTACGTTTGCATGAATGTGGGCGTGGCCTCACAGGTGGGTGTACCTGTATCCAGGCTCCGCCTCTCTACGTCAGCAGGAACTCAGACAAACCCGGACTCATGAGACCAGGACCCAGAGAAAAACTGCACCACATACCAGTGGACCGGGCCTCAGTCTGAGTCCACTGATCCCTCTCAGGCCTGCGGGACCCCGACCCAGAACCCCAACAGAGGCCAGACTCTGTGTATATATCTATATATCTATATATCTACATCTACATATGTGTGTATTAAAAGAGAGAGAGAGTTTATTTAGTACATAACTATGATTTTTTTTAGTATATAATAACTTTAGTATATTTAGTAAACTAAAGTTATAAAGTTATAAATATATAAATATATAAATATAAACGTCTCCTCTCTCTTCGCTGCAGGACAGAAAGACTTTTTTACTCTTGTGTAAATAATAAATAACTTTTATAGACAATTGAATTTCTCTTCAGGGATCAATAAAGTTCTTCTTATTCTTATATAATTATGTTATTTATTATATTATTATCTTAGTTTATTTATTATATACTAACGTTAGTTTATCATATAATCATGTCAGTTTGTTGTTTGGTGTTTTTTGTTACTTATTGATCTTCATAAATCTGAGCTCTGTTTGTTTTTACACTGAGATCAGAATTAAACTGTGTGTGTGTGTTTGTGTGTGTGTGTGTGTGTGTGTGTGTGTGTGTGTGTGTGTGTGTGTGTGTGTGTTCAGGGCGGTCTGGTATCTGTCCTCTGAGGGTCCGATCGTTGGGCTGAACATCATGTAAACTGATGATGTCATAGTTTGGCACAACCCTCTGCTGTGTGTGTGTGTGTGTGTGTGTGTGTGTGTGTGTGTGTGTGTGTGTGTGTGTGTGTGTGATGAACATGCTACAGTGCCATATGAGGAGGTGGGGGGGTCATGATGATTTCAAACTGACTCTGAGTTTGTGATGAAGTCTCTTTACTGAAATAATCCTCATGTTGTTTATGATGATAGTCAGTGTGTTGTTGGTGTGTTTATTAGTGCGTTGTCGGTGTGTTGTCGGTGTGTTGTCGGTGCGCTGTGGTCTCATGAGGAGTTGAAGTGGAGGTCAGTCTCCGTCTGGGTGCAGACGGTTCATTTCAACACTGAGTGACTTCTGCTGACAGTCAACACAGCTGGACTTCATCAGTCACTCACACACCAACAGGACCAACGAGGACCAGGACCAACGAGGACCAGGACCAACGAGGACCAGGACCAACAAGGACCAGGACCAACGAGGACCAGGACTAGACCACACAGACCAGCTTCTGCCACAAAGACACAGAGTCTCAGATCCTGAACCTGCAGCTATAAAAACATCTCTGACTACATGAGCGTTCCTGAAAGTGGGTCAGTAGGTGAAGGAGGCAGTCAGAGCGGTCCGACCTGAAGCTCAGAGGAACCGGAGGAATAAAAACTCTTCTCATCATGATCTCGTCTTTAAATTTAATCAGAGTTTTTAAAAACTCTCAGACATAACGTGTCTGCAGATCCTCCTCCTAACCGCTGCTCCACATCAGGAACTTTAATTTAATAAGTTCATAAATAAATCAGTGTCCACAGTCACATATTTACATATTAATTTTACATTTTTGTACTTATGATCATTTTTTATTGTCTTTAATATTTCAGAGTTATTAAATATAAACTTATTTTATCCTGATATCAGGGACCGCTCTCACTTTTATTCTCTTCATCCCTCTGTGATGATTTTGACCTCCTGATGAATCTGATATTTTCGCTGTTTTTCTCGTTTATTTTCACGTGTAATCTCATGAACATTATTCGTCATCACACTTCTCTTTCATTCACTACAACGATAGCAGCCTACGGGTCAAATCATACATTTCCGACTTCTGTTACGTTGATGTTAGTGTTAGATTAGATTAGATTAGATTTTCCTTTATTCATCCCTCAGTGAGGAAATTAAGTTGTTAACAGCAGCGGTACACACAACAGACTCACACTCAGAACGGGTACAAAAACACAAATAAAGAAGATAAAGATCGACAGTAAAAAAGAGGAAGAAAGAGCGGTGGAAGAATTAAAGACAAGAAAGAGAAAATATAAAAGAGGAAAAGACATCAGTGCCAACGAAACACAGGTGTGATGATGATGATGATGACGATGATGATGACGATGATGATGATGATGATGATGATGATGATGGTGATGATGATGATGATGATGATGGTGATGATGTGATGATGAAGATGAAGATGATGATGATGATGATGATGATGATGATGATGGTGATGATGATGATGATGATGATGGTGATGATGATGATGATGATGATGATGATGATGGTGATGATGATGATGGTGATGATGTGATGATGAAGATGAAGATGATGATGATGATGATGATGATGATGATGATGATGGTGATGATGATGATGATGATGATGATGATGATGATGATGGTGATGATGATGGTGATGATGATGATGGTGATGATGTGATGATGAAGATGAAGATGATGATGAAGATGAAGATGAAGATGATGATGAAGATGAAGATGATGATGATGATGATGATGAAGATGATGATGATGATGATGATGAAGATGATGATGATGATGATGATGATGATGAAGATGATGATGATGATGATGATGAAGATGATGATGATGATGATGATGATGATGATGATGATGATGATGAAGATGATGATGATGATGATGATGATGATGATGATGAAGATGATATTTCACATGATTAATTATCTTGACTGAGATTCGATCTTCATCTCAGACTCTCACAGTAAATGGATAAACTGTCATAAACGGAGCCTGATGAGTCACTTTGATACGTCGCTCCGTTAAAGACGAGAACTTTGGAGAACTTTGGAGCAGAGGTTAAAAACGGGGCGTGGATCTGTCCTGCAATGACCCACTTCATCCAGCAGGGGCACAAAGAGGGTTCTGGATCTGCTTCAGAAAGTTCGACTCAGCTGTGGGGTGTTAGTTTTTACACAGCTCTGTGGTCACAGGAGGATCACAGGTGAGTTTCTGTCAGCCCCCTCAGGTCTGGGATCAGGTCTGGGATCAGGTCTGGGATCAGGTCTGGGATCAGGTGTGGGATCAGGTCTGGGATCAGGTCTGGGATCAGGTCTGTGAGGATCCGGCTCGTCCTGTCAGCTGATTTGAAGACGGCGTTGTTGTTGGGACAGGATGGAGGTCAGGGCAGGTGGAGGTCTCAGCTCCTCACAGGTCTCGGTCTGACCCCCCTCTGACTCTCAGTCCCTCTGTAGATCAGACTGGGATCCTCCCAGTGGGCCCAGTCTGCAGAGACCACCACAGACAGACGGACAGACAGACAGACAGACGGACAGAGAGACGGACGGACAGAGAGAGAGAGGAGAGAGGAATGCTGTGAATGATGGGAGAATATTCAGACGCTACGCCGGCCGTCTGATTGGCTGCTTCCCTCAGGGCCTGCCCTATAAGGACTCAAGAGAGGGAGAGGAGGTGGAGGGGGAGGAGGTGGGGAGAGAGGGAGGAGGCCCGGGCCATGTTTGGGATGGAGGGATGGATGGAGGAGGTGGAGGGTTGATAAACTCACTCGCTGCAGGTCAGACTCTCACTTCTGTCCTCCCCCCCCTGCACCGCCACGGTAAGACCTCCATCACCTCCTCTGTTACCTCCTTATCACCTCCTCCTGTTTGCTGCAGGAACCCTCTTTGTTCTCCTCCTGCTCCTCTTCACCTCCTTCTGAACTCCTCTCCTCTCATCATCAAATCAAAAGTTTTCCAAAAGCTTCGAGCTCCTTCTGTCTCTTCTTTTCTCTCCTCCTCTCCTCTTCTCACTCCTCTCTGTAAACTTTCCTCTTCCTTTTTTTCTTCACCTCCTCTCCTGAAAAACTCTCCAAGCTTCAGAATTTCCTCCTTAACCTCCTGCTTCACCTCCTCCTTCTTTTCACCTCTTCACCTCCTTTCTGCTCTCCTCCTTGCAAAAAAGGTGAAATTGTTCAGAAGCTGCTGAGCCTCCTTCTTCTGACTCCTCTCATCTTCTCCTCTGCCTCCTGAACCATCTTCCCATCACCTCCTTTCTCCTCTTCTACATGCAGCACCTCCATCTGTACATCCTCTGCACCTCCTCCTCTCTGCTCCTCCTCTGCATCAGACATCAGAGTAAATCCACAAAAGCTGAAAAAACCTTGTTGTCTGCTCCTCTTCAGATCCATCTCACCTCCTTTTTCACCTCCTTCACTTCTTTCTCTCCTCTTCTGTCCTCCTCCTTTCTCCTTCACCTCCTCTCCTTGTATCTCCTTCTCCTCTCCTTCCATTTTCAGAGTGTTTCCTCCCTCCTTCCTCTTCTCTGTTAGCTGACTTTAATCTGCTCGTAAAGTCAAACACTCTCTTACCAAACTCCATTTAAATTTCTGCTGTTTTTAGTTTTGCAGTTTTCTGTCGGTCTGCTGAGTCTGAGTTCGTTTCTTCTTCAGTTTCTGTGATTCAGAGATAAATCTGTGAACAGAAACTCTGTTGAGGACAGAGTCGAGTCTCCTCCACCTGAGCTTAGATGTTTCAGACTCTGTTTCTACTCTGACACATTTACACTAAAATTTCACTTTTTCTCACAGAGGTTTGGTTTAATCTGGCAGGTGTTGAGGTGTGTTTGATTTCTTTGTCTGGGTGCTGAGTTGAAGCGTTTGCTGCCTGATTTGAAACTTTCCGCCCTGAGTGCAGACTGGCAGGAGTGTCGGCAGGTTCAGAGCATCATCTTCATCATCTTCATCTTCATCATCATCATTCACTGATTATGTTGAGCTTCCAACTTGACACAGTTCAGGCAAATTCAGTCCAAACTACAGGAGCCCAGAGGAGTGGTTAGATGTGAGAGTAAAGTCGTCCTGTAGTCCTGCAGATGAAGCTCTGTGTAGGATGTTGACCCTACGGTAGTTTAAATTGACCTAAATAAACCCGAGTACAGAGTGACCTCCATCCAACACTCCTGAAACATTTACTAACGTGAAGTTTCTCGGACTCGTCAGGTGACCTCTATCGACCTGTGACATCAGAGAAAGTTCAGGTAGAAACCAAAGAGCACACCTGAGGTCCAGACGTGTCAAAGAGTGCTGTAACATTTAACCTGCTGTCTCCTATCTAACCAGCAGGGGGCAGAACGACAGCGAAACATTCATTTAAAACAAGAACAAGTCATAATTCAGGTGTGAACGTTTGTGTAAAAATGTTTGTCAGGAGAGGAGAAGACGACGACGATGACGATGAAGACGATGATGACGATGAAGACGACGATGATGATGATGACAGGTTAATCCGAGACTAAAAAATAAAATTAAAAAAACACAAAAATGAAGCATCGAAAAAATGTTCAAATTAAAATAAACGATGAGCTTCAAAAATCAGAAATAAACCCGAGTAACAGTTTGAGAGGAGACACTAATGCGCTATCGTCATAGAAACAGGTCAGCTGATCCACAAATCTACGACTTAATTTTGACTTTAATAATTTCTGTGACAGCTTCATTAAAATAACACCTTTAATTCGTTTTAACTTTTGTTCATGTTTCTTATTGGACAGACCCCCAAACATCAGAGGCTGAGACCCTTCGCTGAGTTCTCCTTAAAGACAGAACTGAGGGCAGAATAAACCCACACTCTCTCAGGCTCCTGTCAGGCTCCACAAAATCAGATAAATATTTGATTCCCAAATTTAATGTCTAAATATGGTCTACAGGCGTCTCTGACTCCCAGTGAGGGAGAGAGAGAGAGGGAGGCAGGCCGGGGGGGAGAGGGCGAGTGATGGGGGAGAGGGCGAGCGAGGCAGAGTGAGCAGAGGGGAGAGAGAGCATACCAAACACAGTCAGGACTCTGCTCCATGCCCTAATTAGGAAGTTTTCCCAGAGTGCTTTGTTGTTCATTCAGAGGAGAACAGTAGTGGGGGGGTGGGGGTGAGGGTGGGGGGTGATGTCACTGCTGTCACGTGAAAACCTCACAACTCCAAGTTTGGTGATTTAAAGGGTGAGGTTGGAGGAAACTCGGACTTACGAGGTTTTAACACTGATGTTCAGTCTGTGTGTCAATGAGTCTGCTGCTGAGGAAACCTCGTATCTCCACTGCTTTTATTTAACACTTTAATAATAATTATAATGATAATAATTATAATAATAATATTAATGAAGGACAAAAGTCTGTGGACAGCCTCACCTGGAGAAAGTTCTCGATAACCACCTCTTTCTCTCTCTCTCTCTCTCTCTGTCAGTGTGTCAGAGTGTCGTCGTTGCTCGCCCACAGCGCCCCCTGCAGTCATGTGTGATGATGAGGAGAGCACCGCGCTGGTCTGTGATAACGGATCAGGTCTGTGTAAAGCCGGGTTCGCCGGAGACGACGCCCCCAGAGCCGTCTTCCCCTCCATCGTGGGCCGGCCCAGGCACCAGGTGACACCTGATTGGTCCATGCTGACAGGCTAACGCTGATTTAGTAACTAGAGGCCTTTAACTAAAAACAGACTGAACTATAACTCAGGAGGAGTCCATGTGGTCTTTATAATCCACTAACAGAGGCTCTGAGACCGCCACAGGGGTTCAGTTTGAAGTTCGAGTCTGGACCTGGACTTTCCTCTTGGAGGTCCTGGACTCTGCATCCTCCGCTCTAAAGAGTAGAGGGACCAACGATTCATAAATCAATGATAGATGACTCACACACGCTGTAAACCAATGGAGACAGACATCTGAGCATGGCGGCCATCTTACTACAGTCAGCTCGCCCTCTCCTAACATTCCAGTCTACATCCATGTAACATTTAAATAATCATAGATTGATTAATTTAAATAACCAGATTGATTAATTTAAATAACCATAGATTGATTAACTTTACACCGATTTTCAGAGTTTCAGTTCCTGCATACTCAAGAATAATTGTCACCATGGATTTACATAAATAAACATTAAACAGATAGAGTTATAGTTATAGATCTACACACACAAGGCAGTTATATTAAATCATATATTTAATTATTCCATGTCTGTTATATTAGTAATATTTCTATTACCGGGATAACTATAATAACATATAACAATAACTTATATAAATATTTATTTTCAATATAAATTTCTGTCCATTATTAATTAATGAAAATAATTGATCATAATTTCATTGCTTGTTAATAGTAAAGTCACTTTCATTAATAAACTATTTGTCATTGATAATTGGTCTATATGCTGTTTTTAAATGAGGATTAAATATTGATCATTTATAAATTCTGGTTTTTAAAAAGTGTTATCGTTAAATCTTCATATCTGAGCTCGTCGTCACTCACTCAGCATTGACCTACAGCTGTAAATGACTCCGCCCTCTCCTGTCGTGGTTCAGAAGGGTTTCCTCTCCGTTAGTTGGTTCTGGTCTGAACGGTTCTGACCCGTCTTGTTGTCCTGCTCACAGGGAGTGATGGTGGGTATGGGGCAGAAGGACAGCTACGTTGGAGACGAGGCTCAGAGTAAACGAGGAATCCTGACCCTGAAGTACCCCATCGAACACGGCATCATCACCAACTGGGACGACATGGAGAAGGTCTGGGACCCGCTCACACACCCTCTCTGTTCTGTCGTTATTGATCCTTACCGATCACTCTGATCATGTTTCTCTGCGCTGTGATTGGTCAGATCTGGCATCACTCCTTCTACAACGAGCTGCGAGTGGCTCCAGAGGAACATCCCACCCTGCTGACCGAGGCCCCCCTCAACCCCAAAGCCAACCGTGAGAAGATGACACAGGTGAGCTGACCCACCTGTGAACCCTTCACCTTTGACCTTTCAGTGACCAGGCAGAGGCTCAGGTCGTCTGAATGTCTGTTTTTGTCTCTGTGGTTTAACCCTTTTATGCCGATTGTGTCAAATTTGATAAATACTTTTATAAACTTCTATCAGATCAATAAAATCAACAAATCACTAAAAAAACACCTGAAAACAGCCGATCAATGATAAAAATGTCCTCTTTTAGTTTATCAGTTTACAAAAACATCTCAAGTATCAAAGCAGATCAATAAATATATTTGTTGAATTTTAACGACATTTTGATTCAAAGTCAAATAAACATTTCAGCCAAAAAAAAAAGAAAGAATTTTCTGACCATAATTTGTGTTTTCAGGCATTAAAAGGTTTAATTGATCGAAAATCATTCAGTTTCTGATCTGAGCACCTTTTCACTTTAAACAGAGCGAAATAAAACTGACCTGGACTAAAATCATACCTGTGTATACATGAATAAACACAAATATATCATTCAACATATGTACAAATAAACCTATATATATATATATATATATATATATATATATATATAACCTGTTAATAATTCAACTTATTTATAATAAATAGTATATACCTGCATACAGTTAAGGCTGTGTATAAATGAACACAGATAATTTATAAACAACATTTATAAACTTTTAAATTTATATATAACCAAAGCTTCTGTTCATTAAACCTTTATATAATTAATCCTTCGTATATATTTAACCTAAATGAACCCATACATAAATAAAACTACATATAATTAAACATTTATACCAACAAACCTTTAAAATTAACCTACATAAATTAATGTACCTATATATAATTAAACCTATAAGTGAATTAACCTTTATTCAAATGACCCAGCGCAGAGTTAAACCTACTTATATATATATATATGAATGATTCTGTACACATGTGAATGAATATTTCATGTTTATATACTTAATATTATACGTTGATATTTTGCCTCGAACCACAAATTAAGGTCAGAAAATCTAAACAATTGTTTTCACTGAAATGTTTATTTGACTTCCTACTGAAAACCAAAAAAATCAAAATGTCCTTAAAATTAAAAATAAAAATTAAAAATATTTATTTATCTGGTTTGATACTTTAGATGTTTTTGTAAACTGATACAAAAACTACAAGAGGACATTTGATCATTTATCGACTGTATTCAGGTGTTTTTTTTAGTTATTTGTTCATTTATTTGTTAAAGTATAATCAGTTTAAATCAAATATGACACAAAAGGCATTAAAGGGTTAAATATAAATATCAATAAAGCAGATGGGTTCGTGTCCTTGTCGTTAAATGTCATGGATACGGACATCAGCTGGTTCTGATTGGTCCACTCTTGAATACAGAGAAGCATTAAAGCTGCTGAGGAGACAGATGTTCCCTCAGGCCAAGGTCAAAGGGTCAAAAACAGTCATGTGACCGACGTGACGAGTCACTAATTCAGAGTTCTGTGTTTGTGAGCAGATCATGTTTGAGACCTTCAACGTTCCCGCCATGTACGTGGCCATCCAGGCCGTCCTCTCGCTGTACGCCTCTGGACGAACCACAGGTTGGACCACACTACCACTACCACCACTACTACTACATCTCCTCTTCCTCCTCTTCCTCCTCTTCTTCCTTCTTCTCCTCCTCAGCTCAGATCTATCAGCCTGTACTTCTTCATCAGCTAACAGTTTAGAGGATGTTTCTCAAACTCCGATGAAAAGATCTGAACGATTTACAGAGAGACTGAGACCATGACTGAGACCATGACTGAGGTTCTGGTCTAACGTGGACACCTGTCTTCCTGTCCCTGTTCAGGTATCGTCCTGGACTCTGGTGATGGCGTCACCCACAATGTTCCCATCTACGAGGGTTACGCTCTTCCTCACGCCATCATGAGGTTGGACCTGGCGGGTCGCGACCTCACCGACTACCTCATGAAGATCCTGACGGAGCGCGGCTACAGCTTCGTCACCACTGGTAAGACTCCGCCCACATCTTTAAATGTCAGGTACCGCGGCGTGTCTCTGACGGTGTGTGTGTGTGTGTGTGTGTGTGTGTAGCTGAGAGAGAGATCGTGCGCGACATCAAGGAGAAGTTGTGTTACGTCGCTCTGGACTTTGAGAACGAGATGGGAACAGCCGCCACTTCGTCTTCTCTGGAGAAGAGCTACGAACTTCCTGACGGACAGGTCATCACCATCGGAAACGAGCGGTTCCGCTGCCCTGAGACGCTCTTCCAGCCTTCATTCATTGGTCAGTACACCTGTCCGTCATACACCTGCCTGTTTGTCACTGTTCACTCACCTGGCCGCCCCCCCCTCAGGTATGGAGTCGGCTGGAATCCATGAGACCACCTACAACAGCATCATGAAGTGTGACATCGACATCCGTAAAGACCTGTACGCCAACAACGTGCTGTCAGGAGGAACCACCATGTACCCGGGTATCGCTGACCGTATGCAGAAGGAGATCACCGCTCTGGCCCCGAGTACGATGAAGATCAAAGTAAGAACCAGACACATCGTACCGTTCCGATTAAATTCAGATATGATGCAGATAAATCCTTCAGATCATTACAAATGGGGCCCAGTCAAGGTGAAAGTCAAAAGCATTGGTGCTACTGTAGATGCCAACAGACTACCAGCAAACACAATGTTTGCAGGACTTCTACAACGAGGATAAAGTGACATAGTCCAGGACCCGAGGGAGGACAGTTTAGCGATGGCGCTACAACACGCTACAGCAGGTCCGTTTGACAAGAAACACTTCTGTTACAGACACTTGTCTTACTTTGTTAAAGCGGTTTACCTGTCCAGCAGAAAGGTTACAGGGTCACCAAGATCCCCAAGCGTCCCCCATCCTTTATGTTGACCCGGCTTTTTAGCTCTTGTCCGGTCTACCTCCGTTTTAAGCGCCCGTTATTCCTCCAGAGTCTCCGGTATTTACTTTGTTTTCTTGCTTGTGTCGGCAGTCGTGGCCAAAGGAGGATTCCGACAATTTTCCGAACTTTCTGGTTGGTTTCTACTGTCCGATATTGTAGCACGCTAACTTTGTTTGGGCTCCTGAACGACACGGGGGAGCAGCGTCTGCCTCACAACCAATCAGGTTAGAGGAGGTGGAGAACGGCTTTGTTTACAGTCAGAAAGAGCGGACCGCTCAAAAATGTTCAAATGTTGACGACACAGACAGAAGAGAACACAGAGATATCAATATATTACCAAATAATCAATAACTAATAACTATTGACTGATATTAGAAGATTTTCTGTTTATAAACAAAATAATAAGATGCTTCTTTAACAGATTCATAACGACCCGACCTTTAACTCCGACATAAACCTGTATTATCATTATTATTATTATTATTATTATTACTGATCGTTTCCTTTGATTCCTCACCAGATCATCGCCCCGCCTGAGAGGAAGTACTCGGTGTGGATCGGCGGCTCCATCCTGGCCTCCCTCTCCACCTTCCAGCAGATGTGGATCAGTAAGCAGGAGTACGACGAAGCGGGACCCTCCATCGTCCACCGCAAGTGTTTCTAGAAAGGTCCCCGTGGGTCTCCACCTTCTTCCTCCCCCACCCTCGCATCATTGTCTTCATGTAGCCCGCACTGAGCACCAGCTAACAGGCCCCGGATCAGCTCCACACAGACGTCCAATCAGAGGCAGGAGGTGGTCACACTTCGGGGGTAAAGCCTCACCCCATTGGTTCCTGACAGACGGTTAAAATCGTGATGTCGTTGATATTTGAACCTTTATTTGTAAACTCAGAGTTAACGCTAACATCCTCCGTCTCTGCTCACTGAAAACTGTGAATGTGGCGCTCGTCCTCCATCTTTACCCCTTACTTCTCCACCTCTGGCCCCGCCCCTTGTTATCACACGTGGCCCCGCCCCCTCTGTCCTCCATGTTGTTTCTTTGTCTTGTCAAAGTGTGTTTTTATTTTTGATGAATAAAGCTTGAATGTTTCCCGCTGGTGTTATCTTCCATGGTCGGGGGTTAGAGCACATTCACACGGCGTTACGATGATGATGATGTCACACAGTGTATGATGATGATGATGTCACAAGTGGTGCGGCGGTCCGCAGTATGAGCATGTAAAGAGGCGAAGCAGCAGGTGTGTGATGTGAACATGGAAGAGACAGACGATCGCCCCAGGACGACAATAAAGAGCTCTCATACAAGATCCCTGTGTGTGTCTTTATTCACCCGCTCCAGGACCTGGACCCCAGAGTCCAGGTCCTGGTCCTCAAACCTGAACGGCTCTGATCCAGAACGGTGATTTTCACAGATTCCTACTGGATCAGTTTGTAAAAGTCTCAGAATCGTTTTTTTGAAAAACTTCCTCCTGTTCTCAGAACCGTCGTGGTTTCTGGGTCAGAACCTTTTCTTCGGTTCGTGGATCTTTGTCTTCTGTCCTTCATGACCGGACCGTCTCCATCCTCAGCGTTGGTGAATCAGCGTCCTGCAGACCGTCCACCTCCCACTGTTGGTGGCTTCTTCAAACTCTCCAGGAACTCTTAGGAACTCAGTACGTTTCCATGACAACCGAGAAAACCGAATTATCGCCTTATTCCGATTAAGACCGGACGACTGAAGGTCATGGAAACACTTTAGTCCGACTATTATCGGAGTCGGAGAACTCCCAGATAATCTGATTGGAGTTCAATTTTCTCTACCATGTAACCAGCGTAGTCGGAGTATGATCGGCCACGCCCCTGTAACCCCGTAACAAACCCCCAGAGTAGAGGAGTAGCGTTGGTCTCCTCTTGAGAAAAAGTAGCGCGTCCATCATGTCGGACAAAAACAACGCTGTACGATGCTCCATCTTCTTGTTTCTCCAAAATGCCCAGCAGCAGTTGTAGACACTTCTGACGTCTGACACCGACCTGCTGTTGTTGTTGACGGTTGGATGGGGTCGGAAACAGCGCCGCTGAAAAGACCCATATCGCCCCCTAGTGTTGGGGAGGAGGACACGTTCACGTCGATAACTCGATTATGAGTTTAGTCTGATTAAACTGAGACTGTAAACGACCTGAGTGTCTTTTTGTTGGTCTGATCGGTTTCCTGTCTGAGGTCGTACCTGTGCAGGTGATCAGCAGCTGTCAGTCACCAGAGTAAGGTTTGTTTCCTGTTTGCTCCAGGAAACAGTTTTTTTTAACCAGTTTTGATGATTTTCAAACTTTCAGAGGAACAGAAATGAAACTCTGACAGGTGCAGTCGGTCTTTTATTACCAAAAACGGCAGTCAGTTAAAAACAGCAACTCAGTCGCTTTACAACAACCAAACACACACACACACACACACACACACACACACACACACACACACACACACACCTGAACACTGAGCGGTGCTGGTGCACAAACTGAGAACCTGGGATCCTGTCACAGCAGAGTTAGAGACACTTCAGGAGAGAGAGAGAGAGAGAGAGAGAGGGACGAGCGAGCTTCATAAAGACGAGTGTTTGTTTCAGTCGGAGAGGTGGAGGCTCAGCAGGTGTGAAGGTGAGAGAGGGCGGGACCTGAAAATAACCTCCTGATGTTCCTGTTTCAGGTCCGAGTTTCTGTTCGATCTAAAACAACAGCGTCTAAAAAAATCACTCATGGTGGCTTTAAAAGAAGGCACTCTGTCACTTCAACTTTCACACTTTGTTCTTCATTAAAAACACGTCAACATCGTACACCTCAGATTCAAAACTCTGAACCACCAAAAAAAAACAAAAATATAGATTTATATCCACAGACAGACGGACAGACGGTCAGAGGGACAGCAGCAGCAGCAGCAGCAGCGGCTGGTACAAAAGCAGAAAAAACAACAAATCCACAAATAAAACAAAGTCCAGAAAACTGAAGGACTGAAAACACGTCCTTAAAAAGGTCCGCACACACACACACACACACACACACACACACACGAGTCACAGTTTCAAAGACAAACAGCCCGGCAGTAAACAGACAGACGGCGCCTCCTGTCTGTCACCTGAGGTCCAACAGGCTGATTTTAGAGTCCCTGACCAACACGTGTTTACACACCTGAGAGGGCGAGAGAGGGAGAGAGAGAGGGAGAGAGAGAGGGAGAGAGAGAGAGAGAGAGAGAGAGGGAGAGAGAGAGAGGGAGAGAGAGAGCGGGAGAGAATGTGAAGCACAGATGCTAACAGGCTAACATCGGCACAGATGCTAACAGGCTAACAGGCTAACGTCGGCACAGATGCTAACAGGCTAACTTCAGCACAGATGCTAACATGCTAACGTCGGCACAGATGCTAACATGCTAACTTCGGCACAGATGCTAACAGGCTAACAGGCTAACGTCGGCACAGATGCTAACAGGCTAACAGTCGGCACAGATGCTAACAGGCTAACAGGCTAACAACTGTTATTTTATTCAACCTGAGTTCATCTCAAACACTTCAGCGTCACGTTCATGTCTGTACGGAGGGAAGTCAACGACCACCGAGCCTCCTGTTCACGGGTTTGTCGACTGTTTTGGTACATGAGGTTAAAGGTCAGAACCAGATCTAATCGTTCCTAATCTGGGACACGGATAGTGGTCCACTTTAGTCCTCTACCTGAAGGTGTACTGAAGTGGGCGGAGCAGTAAGTCTGAACTTAGGTCCAAACTGTCGTCTCAGATCTAAGGTCCGCTCTCTTATCGACTCTCAGCAGATAAAACATCAGAAAGTTTCTCACAGTGAAGAGCGGAGGCTCCTTGGAGTGAGGATGGAAACCTTTCAGTCTGCAGCCGGAAACCTCCGACATCCCCGGGCCGCTCAACCTGAACACACCGGTGCTGAGAGAAAGACACGGACATGTACCAGTCATGTATCAGAACCAGAATCTGGACCAGCTGCAGACCCACATCACTGCCCAACACGACAGAATTACACTGAATATCTTAGTTTGAATCACAATAAAGACCGAACTCTGAAAAAAAACTAAAGTCAGCGAGAAAAAAGACAAAAAAACACAAAAAAGAGCAAATAAAACCAAAGACACAAAGAAACAGTTAAAGTCAGAAAAAAAAACACAAAAACAAAAAAACACGAAAAACAAAGACAAAAAAAGCTAAAGATAAAGTCAGGGAAAAAAACACAAAAGACAAACACAAAAAAAACAACAATGACACAAAAACACAGGGTTCATGTGCAAAGTGTAGGTGTGTGTGTGTGTGTAGGTTTGTGTGCGCAGGTGCAGTTGTGTGTGTGTGTGTTTGTGTGCGCAGGTGCAGTTGTGTGTTGGACCCACTCGTTGTGTTTGGGGGCGCAAACGATGGCGATGGCCTCCGGCAGCATCAGCTGGTAGGAACAGTGAGTGTGGAGGTCCACGCTGGAGAGGAACGCCGTCTGAGTGGGATGGGTCTGAAGGCAGAGAGCCACAGAGGTCAAAGGTCACTCACTGAAAACTGTTTTTTTTTTTTGTGCTTTAGTTAAAAAATAAACTGGAATAAAAACACAGATTTCTGCTGCAGAGTGAGACCTCTGTGTGTCTGTTCCTATCTCTGACTCTCCCTCTCCTCTCACTGTTGCCATGGTGATATTTGATCATGCTAATGAAGGGTTGAAAAAGTACAACAGAGGTCAGTGTGTGTGTGTGTGTGTGTGAGAGTCCTCGGTTTTGTTACAGAGTGAGGACCGTTAACGACCGCTCGTTCGCTCTGAGGACCTCAGGTGTGTTTGTGTTTATTTAAAGGTGTTACGTGACCACGGTCCTTTCAGCGCTGTGACATCGTGACAACGCCACACCCGCCGCCAGATCACACGGTTTACACAGGTGTGTGTGGCACAAACCTGATTTTAGCACACTGTGAGGACTCACGAGGGAGTTCACAGCCTTAAAATGATCCGATCAGTTATTATCCGATCAATGTGTAAAGAAATCAATGAGTTCATATTTTTATACATTTCAGCTGCAGTGAGGAACTTTCTGATCCTGCTGGTTTTAGGGCCCCCTGGTGGACAACGTTATATCTCCTGTCTTTGCTGTCATTGGTCTGTTTACGTCGTCTTCTCCTGTTTCCTCTCAGAGCTCACAGACACTAAACCTGCTGTTGTAGGTGTTAAAGAAACCTCACTGTAAAGTCTGTTTCATAACCTATATACAAATATAAATAAATTAATAAATATAAATGAATGAAGAAATATGAATGAATAAAAATATACAAAAACCAAAAAATAAAAAAATGAATAAATACAAACAAATAGGTAAATAAATAGATAAATACAAATGAATAAATAAATAAAAAAATACAAATAAAAAAGAAAATATAAATAAATATAAATAAAAAAATACAAATGAATTAGAAAAATAATAAAAAAATATTAAAAAATATTAAAATATATAAATAAATAAATAAAAATTAAAATAAATAAATATGTAAAAATTTATATAAATTAATACTAATAAATAAATATAAATAAATAAAAAATAAACATATATATTAAAAATGAATAAATAATGTGCTAAAATCTCCTCACAGGAGGTGTTTTGTTTTTGTGAATTCGTACATGAATCCAGCCGAGCGTCAGCAGGTTCTGCTGGTCCTGGAAACTGAAAAGCTCCTCCACGTTCTCCATGTCGCAGAAATCTGGACCTGCCGACTGTTTGGGGATGACGACGTGAGTCAACACGAACTCGTTTTGTGTCTGCGGGCGAGAGACATTCAAACGGTCAGGAGACAAAGAGAGAGAGAGACCATGACCATTTAAACAGACAGGAAACCGTCTCACCAGTCGTCCACAGAGGACGCCGCAGGTCTCGATCCCTCTCGCCGTGTTGGAGTCGGCGAGCAGGAGGAAACGATACGTCAGATCTCTGGGGATCACCACCCTCCTCAGACCCTCCACCCTCTGAGCTGCTCACACACACACACACACACACACACACACACACACACACACACACACACACACACACACACAGGTCAGGTGCAGCACACAGAAACCTTCGTCGTGGTCAAACTGGTCTCAGGTGTGAGGTACTCACTGTGGACACCTGCCAGAGTCGCAGCTGATTGGCTGATGGGAGCCGGTGGTCTGTTTCTGTTAGGATCCGCCCCTTGGGGACGTAGGTTGTTCCTGATTGGCTGCTTGGTCAGACAGGAGCCGTCCGTCACCTCAGGCACTTTGGTGTCCAACTGAAAGAGAGAGAGACGTGTTACTACGAAAATACCATAAAGTACTACAATAAATACGACTATGAAGTACTTGGTACTTCACAGTTCTGCTAACACACAGTAATAGTACCACAACACCGAGCCTGCAGTCACCTTTGGCTCCGCCTCCTCTCCCCTCCTATTGGCCAGTTCCTGTCGCCTCAGCTGGTCCTCAAAGTATCGGAACTGTTCCGATTCGATCTGCATCCGTCTCAGCGCGGCGACTCGCTGCTTCTCCTCCTCCATCAGCAGGAAACGCCTCCTGTCCTCATCCAATAGGGAGAGCTGCTGCAGCTGCTGGCCACACCCATCCGTCACCACTGCCTGGCTCTGAGCAGGAAGCAGGAAGTCACATGATCAGACCTGAAGCTTTGTAAGAACTGTTGCGCTCTGTCTGTGAAGGGCGGAGACTCACCTGAGCTCGGAGGAACTCGCCGTGCTCCCTGCTGTACTTCTCCTGAAGACGCTTCTTCAACTCGTCTTTACGAGGAAACGCCACTTCCTGAAGTTTCTACAGACAAAGAAAACACGACAGGTTATTGATTATCGATTATTGATGAAGCATCATCATCATCATCATCACACTCGTTTACCTTCATGATCAGCTGTTTCTCAGGAACGCTGCACTGATGGTAATCTCTGTGAGCGGGCAGCTTCTCCACGAACAGCCTGAGGGCGCGCACACACACAATCACGCACACACACACACTGTTACACACTCTCTCATGTTTTGCACAGTCAGCATAAATCTGGTCTCATCAGGACGCCGTCGTGTCTCACGTGATGAACTTGGTGTAGAGGACGTAGGCGTTCTCCAGGCTGCCCTCCTCCAGGTAAACCGCCGCCATGCGCTCCATCTCCACGCCGGAGCGAAGGTACCGTCTGGGTTCGATGTCCTCGTTGATCTCCACGCTGCAGCCCATCTTCCCCAGAGCCCGCACGCGCTCCGCCGCCGTCAGAGACACGTCCGTGTAATCAGGCTCTGCTGCCAGCTTCTTCTGCACACACACACACACACACACACACACACACACACACACACACACACACACACACAGGTCAGAGCAGAGCACTGGACAGTGAACTCTGGTGGATCTGGACCCCACTCATGAAGTGGACCCATCAAACACGAACATCTGACAGCTGAGCGCTGAGATTTACGGGCCGCACTGAGCGCCTGAATGCAGCGCTTGTTGGAGGAGGATAAACTGTCCTCTGTCCGCTCGCCGCTCTTTATTCAGGGCCATGGGGGGGGGGTTAAGGATGGAGGAAGAGGAGAGGAAGAGCAGGAGGGTCCCACCATATCAGGACCAAAGACTGGAATTAAAAAAGTTTATTTTTTATTTCCTTTAATATTATTTTATACTTGATGACGGTCCTTCATGTTGACTCTAAAATATTCCTGTTCTCTGTTTAATTATGTTGGTTATTCCTTTAACTGTTATCATTATTTAATCGTTACTCTGTTGACTCTCTAATAAATCTCATCGTTCTTTTTTTACTATAAACAGACTCTGAACTGAAACAACACGAACATATGAATCAGACTCTGTAAACAGACTGTCGTGTTTTAACGAGATAATGACCTGATACATAACAGCAGGATACAGATCCATACAAATATAGACTTAATGATAAAAGACGGTTCAAAACACGATCAAATATATTTACTGAGAGGATTTAGGAGAGTCGAGGGTTAAAGTGAGAAAAACAGCAAGATGATAAAATGATGAGTCAGATAAGAGACGATGACGAGGCTCTATTAATGATAAATGATTTAAACATGTGAATGAAAGGATTCTTTCAAAGTCAAATATCACATTTCAACAAGTCAAAATACAGAAGGACAAATAAATATTTAATATGACACGACCCAATAAGGCATAAAATACAACAAACAAACAAAAGAACAAACAACAAAAAACAAAAACAGAGAAAAAATAAAAACACGCAAAAAACAAAACAGACATCAAACAAACTGACAAACAAAAGAACAAACAACAATAACAAAAACAGACAAAAAAACTAACAAATAAAAAACAAACAAATCAATTTAAAACAACAGCAAACAAAAACAAACAAACAAACAAAAAAAACATAAAAAAAACAAACAAAACAAAACAAAAACAAACAAAGAGGACATGACAGCGCTTTATTTTGAAGGGCCCACATCTTCTGTTTATTTCCAGCAACAGTTGTGATAACAAACACACACACACACACACACACACAAACACACACACACACACACACACACACACACACACACACACACACACACAGAGTGAACTCACCAGTGTGTTTATGCTGAAGTCCTGCTCCATGTTGTGAAAGTGTGTGTGTGTGTGTGTGTGTCACAGGCTCTGCTCGGCCCACGGTCGGCTCATCCATCTGCCGTCTCCCATGATGCTTCACTGTGAGGGAGACAAAAACAACAACAACAGGACGTCACTGAGGAAAAAAACGGCGTTTTAGTTTGAAATCGACTTTTAACAGTCTGAACTTCCTGTGAGGAGCGGCGAGCTAACAGTCATCAGCCAATAAGAGCATTTCATTCTGTCCTTGAGTTCGGTCCATGGTTACCATGACGACCAGTAACCATCAGTGAGTTTCCCACTTGAACGCTAAAACAGAGAGAGAGAGACGACCTCCCACTCCTCAACATTTTCCAACAACTCAAACTAACAGATGGAAACAGGTCGCCGTGACAACAAACAGCTCTGATTCACGCCGTCCTCAACGCCATCCGTTACGGCCAGCCTGGAGGAGGTCACCATGGCAACATGTGCATCACTGCTGGAGAGCAGGAAAAAAAAGAGAAAAAACCAACGCAGCGAGTGATAAAGTTAGACGGCGTGATGAGTCATCAGAAAAACACCGAAACTGAGAACAGCAGGAGGTCCAGGAGGGAGTCCGGGTGAGAGCAGGAGGAGGACGAGGTGAGAGCAGGAGGAGCAGAAGAGAGCAGGAGGAGGACGAGGTGAGAGCAGGAGGAGCAGAAGAGAGCAGGAGGAGGACGAGGTGAGAGCAGGAGGAGCAGGTTCAGGTGAGAGCAGCAGGTTCAGGTATTTCAGGTGTGTTCAGCTGTCACTCAAACATCCTGCTCCACCACATTCACTGTGCGGCGCGGCGACCTTTGACCTCTTTGAATTCCTACACAGAATAAACTGAACAGACAGGAAACCTCGTTCAGCCTGACAGACAAAACTCTGGGCAGAGATCAGCCTGAAGGTGCTGCTGATCTACCTGCTCTTCATCATCATCATCATCTTCATCACGATTTCAACTCCACCTTAAAGGGAGTTTCTGCTGCGGTTAAAGTTCACAATCAATCAATCAATCAATCAATCAATCTTTATTGATATATCAGTTTTCAAACACAGAAAAAGGAAGAAAAGAAACAAAGAAAACAAACAAATCTACCCCGACCCTCATCCCACCATCCAAACAGGATTAAAAACATGAACTTAAAAAGGTTTTAATGTGAAGAAACGTGATTTTAAAACACTGAAGGTTAAAATCTAAAAACAAAGAAACAGAAAATAAAGTTTAAGAAATAAACAATAAAATGAAATAAAAACAGTCAAAGAAACTAAAATAAGAACATTAAAATAAAGACGATCCTGTCGTTAAATCTAGAAAGAGATAAATGATAAAACACTTCAAGTTCATGAGATAAAATTCTGTTAAAAGTCAAACTAAAAAGGTTTTCAGTTTGGTTTTAAACCGTAAACACGCGTTCACAACCAGGAGGGATTTTAAACGGCTAAAAACTGACCAAGAAAACCTCATCAAGCCTCATCAACATTATTAAATCTCATTAAATCTCATCAAATCTCATTAAATCTCTTTAAATCTCGCTCGATCTTCTCTGATGTCTGAAGTAAAAACAGAAATTAAAACTCCTCCCCCTGAATTTAACCTTTTATTTTGATTTAAAATCCTTTGAAAGAGTTTTTTTTCCTCTGATTTTAAATCAGAATCGGTGAACTGCTCCTTTAGCTGCTCTGTCTGTCTGTCTGTCCGGATGAATGAATGAATGAATGAATGAGTGACTATAATAAAGAGTGAACACATGAATCACTCTCTGAACTCATCCTCCTCTGTGTCCAGCTGATTCCGGACCCGGTCACACCTGTCTGACCGCAGGTGAGCTGGAAATCAGCGCGCGCTCACTCCGTGTTACCTGCCGTGGGTCGTGAACGCGCACGGATGATTGACAGCTGGTGAGGGGGACCGAGGGGACTCAGGGGGGAGTCAGGGGGACTCTACTCACCGGTCTGTGGTCTCTCTGATGTCCTCAGCAGATCCGCATCACCGGGTCACGTGTTCACACCCCGGGTCACCACCTGCCCGTCCTCGGTGGACCCAGTCTCGGTCCCGGTCTCGGTCGTGGTCCGGTTCTGACCCGGGTTCGGAGCAGATGTGGATGAGGAGACTAAAATGGCTGAAATCTGCAGCTGCTGCTCCGCGCGCTGCTGACAGAGACGGACGACTACAAAGATCCTCTCCGAACACAGACCACTCACTACTGCTTCCGGTTTCACTCTGACTCTGCACAGGCGCAGAGAGGCCCGGAAGAAAGAGCGTAAATGAGACGTAACGTCTCACTCTGACACGTTTTCATGACACCAAAACCAAGCTAACTTAACATTATTATTATTATTATTATTATTATTATTATTATTATTATTATCATCTACATTATTATTATTAACTTATTTATTTATTTAGTAGTAGTAGTAATATTGTTGTTGCCATTGTTTTGATTATCATTATTGTTATTATTCCTAGTTGTATTAATATCAGTATTATCATCGTTATTATTATTGTTATTAGATTTATTAATACCATTATTACGATTATTATTATTATTGTTGTTGTTATTATTATTATTATATTATTAATATCATTATCATTATTATTAGCCATAAATATCTGTAAATATTTGACCCCTCAAACTAGTCCAGTTGTCCTGTTAACAAAGACTTTCTCTTATTTTTATCTCATGATGGTTCTGGTTCTGGAGTACATTTGCACCCTCACCTCAGGCCTGTTGGTTCCAGGATCTTCAATAATGTCACAGAGATCCACTGAAGCCTGACCTGATCCCAGCTGATGTGATGAACTCTGTCTCCCCCTGCTGGTCTCTGTTGGTCATCACAGGGTTAAAGGAAAAAGGGACTCATGGTAAAGCTTGATCATTTAATTTAATCTGATTTTGTCTTTTAAACATGTTCGGCTGAGAAATATGAGATTAAGTCGATATTTTCATCTGAGTTACAGCAAATTAAACTAATTATTGACTCCCAAACACAACACACCTGTCTCTGTAGTTCAACGAGGATTTATAATCCTCTCAGTCCTTTATAGGTGAGAGCGGGATTATTCTTCATCATTATAAAGTCTTTCAGCACAGAAGCACGAGGAGAGTCTTCTTCTTCTTCTGTTTTTATGGCAGCAGTTAAACTATGACTCTAAGGTGTACATCATCGGCATCATCAGCACTCACACCTGACCCTAAACTCCTCCCCCTCTCTATGCCAGGAGACAGTGACTCCGCCCACTTCTGTCTCAGTCAAACTGATCTAACTTCAGTCTTTTTAAATGATCAGTCTGAGGTCAAAGTTCACAACAAATTCATCCTCACAGGTAAATAAATACAAATGTAGAAATAAATACAGATACACACAGGAGTGAGATCCTGTTCTTTTTCTGCATATTCATGATTAAATCTTCAGTTTTTACTCTGATATTAAAGATTCAGCCTCGGTCTGTTAAAGTACACGTTTGGACTATGAGCCAGCGTCTTATTTTGGAGGGTCAGAGTCATTGATTAGTTGGATTAAAGTTAATCTCAGAATTACTGATTTAAAAAAATGACTCAAAGTTCATGGACTTCCCTTTTTCAGTTCATTTTTAAAGAATATTTATAGAAATAGAATCTGGAGGTTCTGACACACAGACACAGAGAGGGTTCTGGTCCAACATGAATCACTGATCTGAAGGTAATCAATGTATTTATTGATCTGAATTCAGAGTGAGAGTCACAGGATCAGATGTTTTTTCTCCAGTCATGTCTCGTCCTGCTCTGGATCCTCCTTTTCAGTTTGGCTTCAGGCCTTTTTAAATGTGACGCACTTCCTGTTACCTGTATGTGTCAACTTCTCTCAGGTGAGCAGAGGGTTTTACTTTGAAAGCCGTAAACAGGAAGTTAACTAAAGATTTAAAAAATCAGGATATCTAAATGTTTCTGATGCTCCAGTTTGATCCGGTTTGATCCTGTTAAATATGATGAAAAAGCAGAAATATGAATTTCAGTCGATTTCAGAAAGACCAAGACCTCCTGACAGGAGCTTTAAGTTCAGTCGTTTGTCTGGTTTCCTGGTTTTTCACAATAAAGGATGAAACTGAAAAATACATGAAGTGATGCTGAAGATGTGAGAACCGACTCCTCTACGTCAAAATAATATTAAACTGATTTATTCTGGAGATTACGATAAACACTCAGAGGGCCTGAATACTCTCTACTTTTATTTTGAAAGGCAAAGGTGGAAGTGCTGTTCCTCTCAGGTCTAGCTTCACTCATCCAGGTGTGTTCGTACCGGCGGTCATGGGTTTGGTTTACTCCGAGGTAAGAGCAGAAACTGAGGCTTTAATCTGAAAAACCTTCATTGAAACAATTAATTATATTATTAACCTTCTTAAACTTCAGTAGGAGTGTGTGTTCAGGTGTGTTCAGGTGTGTTTAAGTGTGGATAAGTGTGTGTGTAAGTGTGTGTGTGTGTGTGTGTGTGACAGACTTTACCTGAGCTCACCTACACTGACTCAGCGTCACTCGGCGGGAACACAGTGGACTGATGTTCATTCTGAGAGTTATTAATGAACCTGCTGAGACACACACACACACACACACACACACACACACATACACACACACACACACACACACACACACACAAACACACACACACACACACCACACACTGCAGTAATACTACAGTACAAGTTGAACACGTTAAACTCTTACTTTGGGTGAACAGCTGTCAGAGAGAAAATAAAAGTTTTGATTAGAGGCTTTTATTTTGAAAGACCAACTTTACTCTAACACACTGAAAGTTAAAATCAGAGTATTTTCATATTTGTGTACTTGTACTTTATAGTATTATGTTGATGTTTTTACCATGAGTCAGTTATCGGTCTGTAAAAACTTTGTCAGTTTACAGAATTTGTTTTATTGACAGTAAAAATATTCACATCAATTCTCCATAATTATGAGATTTTCAGAATAATGTCCCAGACTTCACTTCACTTTAAGAAACAGATTAGTTTCTTAAATGATTTAATAATTCATTATAATTTTCTAAAACAGCTCTCTACGTGAAGAAGACTTTTATTTTGAAAGTCTGATTCCTCCAAACAAACATGTCAGTTAATGAACTTCTATAATAACCTGTTTACAGCTGGAGTCTGTTAAAATCGGCTGACTCTGCAGTTTCACACTCTGACGTTAAACAGTCTGACAGTCAGGAGCTCAGTCACCGTTTCATGTCCTGGGTTAGACCGGGGGGGCGGGGGCGGGGTCACCTGTCCTGGTCGTGGTTGACGGTCAGGTAAAGATCAGGATCTGTCAGCTGGAAACAATCATCTGAAGATTTTAAACAGGAGGAGAGAAAAATGAGAAGAATGTGAGAAATGTGACGATCTGATCAGAAACAGACTCAAGACTCTCCCTCTCTCTCCCCTCTCTCTCTCTCTCTCTCTCTCTCTCTCTCTCTCTCTCTCTCTCTCTCTCCTCTGTCTCTCTCTCCTCTGTCTCTCTCTCCTCTCTCTCTCTCTCTCCTCTGTCTCTCTCTCCTCTGTCTCTCTCTCTCTCCTCTGTCTCTCTCTCTCTTTTTTATTTTCTGTATTTGTCGGTGAAAAATCTCCTCAGACCTGTTTCCTTCGGTCGCTGCAGGCTCCTCTTCATTTATAGCCCTTTAGAATAGCAATACAAATACTTTTACTTTGGCGGGGCCTGACTTCCTGGTTACGCTCCTTTATAAACTCTGGACTGACTCAGAAAAAGTGTGTAATTAATGATTAATCAGCCTGTAAACAGTGATGGAGTCTGGAGGGTCCTCACAGGGACACAAACACACACACACACACGTCCTCATCAGAGAGTCCAGTTAGAGAGCTGAGGTAAACTGGTTTAACTGGTTTATACTGGAAGGTTACAGGACTGACAACATGTGGTGTGTTTGTGTTATCTTTATGCAAAGTGTGTGTGTACACGGGTAAACAGTTTCAAGAGTTTGTGAAGCAACTTCCTGTTTTTCTTACCCTGAGGTCCTCCAGGTCACTCCTGATCCTCTTTAAATACTCGAGCGGAGCCTGTTATTAATAATATTAATAATTATAATTACTAAATAAAATAACAATAAAACTAGAACTGATCCTCTTTAAATACTCGAGCGGAGCCTTTTATTAATAATATTAATAATTATAATAACTAAATAAAATGACGACAATAAAACTAGAACTGATCCTCTTTAAATACTCGAGCGGAGCCTGTTATTAATAATATTAATAATTATAATAACTAAATAAAATGACGACAATAAAACTGGTACTGATCCTCTTTAAATATCAGAGTTCAGACACATTCAGAGGAAACACAGGACAGACCATCACTGTCTTAGAAAAATAATAATATTAAAACAGAAAATGAAATTAATTAAAATATATATATATATTATTAATTTATTTATTATTAAGACTGTTATTATTATTTTTATTATTGTTAATATCGCTAGAATGGCAATATTACTTTGATCATTATCATTATAATTATCATTATTGTTAATGTAAATAATTATCATCAAAGTAACAGTAATAATAATTTGACAACGGGTATTTTAATATTGCTATTGTTTGATTATTCTTAATATTTTGATTATTATTATTATTATGGTTCTAAAAGCAATATTAATAATAATAACTTTTTATATTATTAATATTGTTTATTGTTATTTTTATAATACATTTATCATAAAATAAGTATAATCCCTATAATCAACCTCTCTCTCTCTCCTCTCAGCCGGCCTGTCAGTCAGCGTACGATGGCGACGTCCATCAGCTGTATCATTACCTGAAAAAGGACCCGTCTCTCCTGAACACGCAGGAGCGGCATAACGGGGACACGCCTCTCATCGCCGCCTGTCGCGGCGGTCACCTGAGGGTGGTGCAGTACCTGCTGGAGAACAAGGCCAATGCCCACCTGACCAATGAGGTGTGTCCTCCTGCTGACATCACTCTGACGCCCTCACCTGTCGTCCTGACTCTAACCTGTGAGTGTGTTACAGAAAAAGAGGACGTGTCTGCACTACGTGTCCAAGAGGGGATTCTCGCTGCTGGACTACCTCATGATCGCCATCCTGATGCCCATCCTGCTGCTGGGATACTTCCTCATGGTAACACACACACACACACACACACACACACACACACACACACACACACACACACACAGAGTTCACTTTTTCAGTGTCTCAGCTGTTCTTGAATTAAAGTCCACATGCAGAAGTTCTTGTATGGTGTCCTCAGAATGTATCAAACACATGTATGTATGTGTGTGTGTGTGTGTGTGTGTGTGTGTGTGTGTGTGTGTGTGTGTGTGTGTGTGTTTCAGCTGCAGAAACAGAGACAACACGCGGCTCTGATGAAGGCCGTGCTGAGCACTAAAGTGAACGTCAACGCGGTCGACTATGTGAGTAAAAACTATAGACTGTATCTAGAATAGACGCCGTCTGCCTCCTCTCTTAGAACAGCGCCCTCTGGTGACGGGCTGCAGTATAGGTCCTAAACCCCGCCTCCTTATGGAGCTGTGGACAAACTTTATAAATGAATGACACAGAATATAAATGTTTCTCCCCCCTGGTTGTGATGTTGACATGTAGTTACTGTCAGACTGGTTTGTGCTCAAGTCCTCTTTTTTCTGTACTGCTCCATTTTTAAAAGTTATTAGGGGGTTCATGTTTTCTATGATTGACACCTGATACAGCCAATGGGAGGACAGAGATTGCGTAGCTCCCCCGGGTGATTCGCTGTATATACAGTCTATGGTAAAAACCTGCTTAATATAAAAGCAGGATTCTGGGTAATGAAGTCCGTTAAAAGTATCAGTTTTTATCAGAGTTTTCCTGTCTGTGTTTTTGTTCTGCGCTCAGAGAGGAAACACGGCCCTTCATTACGTCTGTCAGAGGAAAAACCACCGTCTGGTTCCTCTGCTGCTGGACAGAAACGCCAACACTCACATTAAAAATGAAGTAAGGACACAAACGTACCGACACAGCAGGTTTTCTGCAGCCTGACGAGCGTCTGTGGACTTAACTCTGTTTTCTTCTTCATCTTTAGGACGGAGAAACGCCGTTGGACATCGCCACCAGGCTGAAGTTTAAGAAGATCATCGTCCTGCTGAAGAAGAAAAGAGGACAGACGGAAAATTGAGTCACTTTAAGGTTAATTTCATGTCAGCAAAGAAAGATTTTAATGTATTTTCACAGCCGAGCTCTTCTCCTGTCGGGTCCCGATTTTAATTATTTAACATTCACTTAAAGTTCGGATTTATTAACCGGTTCAACATTTTTAAGGAAAGCTCATAAACTCAAATGTTAAAAACAGATCAAGTTTGATTAAGTTTGTTTTAAATAATCTGGGAATAATCCTGGAGCGTGTTACAGCAGCTGTTAGCTTCGTGCTAGCATCAGTGTTAGCTAGTGAGTTGCATCGTTACAAAATAAAATCAGTTTTAACCTGAAAACAGGAAATGTTTACACTGAGAGATCAGCTGTTACAACAAGTTTGGAGAAACGAACATGCAGGTTGGCTAGCTAGCTAACTGACTAACTAAACTGCAGTACAGGAGTTAGCATGCTAATGTTTGATGTTGACTCACAGTGTCTGATCTGAATCTAGATTAAGACGTTTACCTGCTAACTGACGGGTTAAAGCTTCAGTCACAGCTGTGGACCATCCGGGTTTGTTCTGTTCTTCAGTTTTCAGGTCCTCCTGGATTTTCTCAGAGCAGTCCGTGGTTTAAAGTTCCGATCAGTAAAGTTCCTCCGACAGAATCGTCATTTTCATTAAAAACTCGACAAAGTGTATTTTTAAAAATTAACTTGTTTATAAATATATTTGACATATTTGAGAAACTGTTTCTAATCTGAGAGACGACAGAGAAAGAAGAAAGTTCGTCTTCATGTTTAAAAGATCTCAAAGTTGTAAAAATGATTCTGTAGTTTCAGTGAAGCAGGAAGTTCAAGTTAGGAACAGATCGAGTTAGGGCTGGGCGATAAAACGATAACGATATATATCAAAAATTAATTTCCCTCAATATCAATATAAAACATGATCAATATCTTTCTTTGATCGTCGGCATTCTACCATGTTTTGGTCGACTATACGAACAGCCAATGAAAAGGCTATATATATGAGCGTTTCTGACCATTTCTGTTACCGTGACGACAGAATTTCTTTTTTTAATATCTACATAGAATCTGTTTTAAAAAAGTACCAGCCCACACGTGGAAAAGGCCTTCGCTTCTGTTGAATTAGCTGGTATCATCCACATACCACGGTAAATGCTAGCTAGCTGTTCACATGCACTTTTAAACCCTAAATAAGACGCTAAACTTTTTATTCTTTATATGTCGCTAAAATGTCAAAATGAAAACTTCAGTTTTTATAAATCTGCTTGTTTAATTAAGTATTGACCATCTGATGCATTTCAAATTGCTGTTTTTGTATTTATCCTGAAAGTGGTTATTAATAAAATCTATAAACAACAAAAAGGTCTGAGTGTGAAATTTATTCATAAACAGTTTAATCACAAACTGGTTTACATCAAGAAACACACAGAATAACATAAACTGTTTATAATAGTTTGAAATTTTAGTTCGGCTCCGCCCATCAAAATTCAAGGCACATGATTGGACGCTGCTGCCCCCCTGATTCACTCATTCACAGATCTTTGACTCGAACAAGTTTCACATTCTGCTGGTTTAACCTTTGTTATTGTTCAGTCAGGCTAACGTTAGCGTGCTGAAATGCACGAGTCATTTAGGTAGTTTAGTTATGTCATCACGCTTCAGCCAATCAGCAGCCTCAGAGCTGACGCTGACATCAAGCTGTTTTAAAGTTCGGCTTCAGAAGTTTTTATGAAAGTGTTTGAGAGAAAATCATTTCTATAGCGATAACAGTGCTAACGCTGTTAGCTTAAGAGGTTAGTGCTTCAGAAGTATTTTCAGTTTAAAAGCTTTTAAAGTTGAAATGTTCGCAGGTTTGTTCCTGAGCTCAGCTGTAACTTTACAGAACAGACTTTAAAAGAAAATTTACATAAAAACAATCAAGTAAAAGAGTAAAAGAAGTGGTATAAAATCAAAGTCAAGTACAAGTATACACACACACACACACACACACACACACACACACGAACATCTAAAATACTAACACATACTCTGAAACTT